AGTAGCAAATTGTGATCCAGAGTTGATGAAGCGTTATTAACAAATATTGAGGGCACAAGATTGCATACGTTCCCCATGTCAGTATTCATTTTATTTAAGAGTTGCGTTTGTAATTAAATTATAAAATCATTATTTTGTCGTTAATTTTTATTTTCAATTGTAGTTAAAATATGATTTGTGATTTTTGATTGGATAGAGGAGTCGTATATAGCATTAAACTTAAAGTATTGATGATTTCCTCTTCTGAAATTTGAATATATAAATATATTTGTTTGGATGTATGGATTTACTCCACAAAGATGATACCTACAACTCAAATTGACATTATTTTTGAAATTTTTTTTTTTTTGAATCGGCATATCTGATCAAAATTCTTTCAAGATGAATTGTCCTTTATAATTGATTTAAAATAAGTTGGATGCAATTTTACATGGATGCCACCTAATTTGAGGGAAATTTTAGTAGTAAGAAGTCCCATTGAAATCAAATTACTTCATTATTCATGAGTGAATTCTATTAGCTATCGGTTGGTTTCAATGAATTCTATGTCTATATCTTTTAGCTATATAATCCATAAATTTTGTTTATTTTCTAGATATTTTCTCATTGAGTATTGCATGAAATTTTTGTTTAAGCTAATGGCATTGGTGTTGGCAATATTAATATGTTTGTGCTCTATGTGAATCCCATAGTCTAATAGTTGTTGCTTAAGCTAAAAAATTCGAGCTACACAAATTTCTGCAATATCATACTCTATTTTAGAAACAAATAGAACAAGAAAATTATAAATATTTTCTCAAATCATGATATTAGTGGGTGTCTTAAGAACTAGGAAGTCCCTTTAGATGTTCTTATGATTTAATTTTCATACTTCAAAATTAGCATTACAGAGCCTTAAAAAGTCTCATGGAAGGGAATTCCTAGAATCTTGCAAACCTAGATTAGTATTTGATTAATATTTCTAAATATTCACTTGATTTGGAATGTGGTTCTTTAGGTTTAGATTAAAAATATGCATACATGCAAACACTAAACACAATATTCAGTCTACTTGTAGGAAGGCATAAAAGGTACCTTTGGGATCCTTATCAAGCTGAGTAGAATGGCTTTTAGGGCTCTTATTGGCTTGAATTTCTCTAGATCTAACCTTTTGATAAGCTTTTTAGTATATTTTGCTTGACTAATTAAGTGTCATTCCCCTCATGTTTTACTTAAAAATTGAAATAGTAAGTTCAACATTAAGCTCGTCTCAAATTCATAATATGCAATTCAAAACTCAAGGAACAAGGACTCATTGGTTATAACAAGAGAATCTCATCCACATTGTTTTGGATAACAAGATAATTCTTATTTTGTCTCTAAAGAAGAGGTTATTTTCTACCTCCCCTTAAGTGAATCTATATTCTAACAAGAAGTTGCTAAGCTGTTTATACTTTTGGATAAGCCCATGAAATACTTTCTTTAGTTTGTAGATATGATTGGGATGATCACAATCCTCAAATCTGGATGATTCTTAAATGTAGGAGCTTGTTCGACCTACACATCTTCTTCGGTGCTTCCATTTAGAAATGTACCCTTTTACATCTATTTTGTACTATTTAAATTCTATGAAGCAAGTAAAGGCTAGGAGCATTCTAAGAGCTTCTATCCTAGCTATCAACGTAAAAATCTCGCCAAAATTTATACTCAATTCAGCTAGATATTGATCTAACTTATAATATATATTTCATTAAGTTTATTTTTCAAGCCCCATTTAGTTGTAGTTACCGACTGTTCATTTGGTTTTGGGATTAGTATTCTTACATGATACATTATTTCTAACAAACTAATTTATTTCTTTGTATATTGTTGATTGATCGTTTTGATCTCCCAAATTTTTGTTTAGGTTTTGCTCGTACAATTTTGTCAAAATTTAAAATTAATCGTCGACTTTATCATTATCAATGTTCCACTTAAGATTAAGCTTCTCAAAAACTTTCATGTCAATATCTCTATCCTAGATTCATCACATATTACATGCATAGGTCATTCTATAATTAAGATGTTTTTATTAGGACTTTATAAGCTTTGTTAGATGGTGAATATCCCAAGAATATAGCTTTATCTTATTTTAAAACAAAATTTCTTGTATAATTACTTCATTTTTCAATAGCGGATGTGATATTAGAATGTCAACTCAATTGAAGCCATGATGATAAAAATGTTGTTTAGATGATTTTGAATCTAAGTACACTTTAAGGTTATGGCGCAAACCCAATGGGTGTTTGGGACATGTGGTGAGATGGGTTTGATCAATTTCTAAAATTTTGGACGTATACATGAATTCAAATAAGTTCAAGTAATTAAACTTCCTGTAAAATAATATCAATCTACATAATTTTATTTATTTTGTACTTGTTTTTTTAAGAAACTGGCCAACCAAGCTACTGTAAAATAATGTTGCCACTTTGGGTTAAGTGGTATTAAGTGTTAAGCCACAACAATTTTGTTCTTCCTCTATAGTATTAGCTGTCAATGATGGATATTTGATCATTAAATATTTTTTTTCCCTAGCAATATTTTAATATTATTCTTTACATTGTGTGTATATAGTCTATTCAAAGATGTGATGATCCAGTGGTTGTACATACATCTATTGCATTTCCCAATACTACTGCACTAATCAGACGATCTCTTCACACCGGCCTGAAACTGAGATTAATATTTAACTCTTTCATTGAGATTTAGCTCTAAAGTGAGCTAATTTGCTTGAAAAATATATGGAAGATTTACTTACATAACACCCAATTCTTATACATTTACGTATCTAGCACCTCAACTTTACTTTTTACATTACCTATGCATGAAAACAGATATTTCACTTCTTAGAAGTTGTATGGTGGTATTTTGTATGTGATAAGAAAGATTTTGGTGGTGAAATTGTAAAAAGTAATGTTTAGGTGTTAGATAGGTATATACATGAGAATTTGGTGGTATATGCATGTGAATGCCCCAAAATATAATCCAACTGAGAGCATTGGTCCATAAAAAAACTTTAGTTGTTACATATGTAAATATATAAGAATTGTGTGGTA